AATTTTTTTTAAATTTCCCCTACATTAAAAAATTTCCCTAATTAAAAATTCTTTACCGAAACTAAGAAGAAGGTTTTTGTTACAAAATCATGAATTTCTAAAAATTTCCCCAATATTAAAAATATTCCCTAAATGAAAAATTCTTCACCGGAACTCAGAAAAATTTTACGATTGAAAAAAGGTGATTTTTRGGAATTAAAAAAAAGAGTATATCTGTACTTAGTTATACTAAACAGAAACATTTTTGAAGAAAAAATTAAATATTTCTTCTATTAAAAGGTCCTCCACTGCTGTTCAGACCTTCTTGGTGGATGAAAACTAAAAGGTTACTCTTTCCCAACATCTTGTTCAGATCGGATAACTGTAGCTTATAGTTGCCATACACACTGAACAAATGCGAACGGAAATTTTGTGTTTATGAAGGAAATTATAGTTTCGAATATATAATATTCCGAAGTTAACGTTTTTTAATATTTTTTTATAAAATTATTTTGCGAAGAAAAATATCTAAATTATTTGTTAATAAATTTTATACTTACCATCATTTCACTTAAATAAATCCATGTGTCATTTTTGCCACTTCGAAAAATAAGTACATACGGTTTTATTTTTCCGCATTTTTCTTTTTCTTTTTATGAAACTTGCCATACATTTTAAAACTGCAATGCGTGCAAATGCCTGCTAGCCACCTTCAATGCTACTTTCTTTGCTTTCTTTAACTTTTAAGTACACACATTTTAACATTTTTYGTTTGTTACTCTGCTTCATTTGGTTTATAATTTAAATTTGATTTTGAAAAGGCATTTTTTTAGTGCTGCTGCTTGCTGCTGTTGCGCTGCTTGTACAGAAGCTGCCACCATATTCATTACATTACATTTTTCAACTGTTTTATTTTGTTGTTTTTGCTTTTGTTTTGACTATTTTAATTATAAGTTTCATAATAATAATAATATCTTTCAGCTATTAACAAGCATAGCTACAACTACAATACAATACAATACAATATTTCAATACAATCCACCTACATACGTCACCACTTTCAATATCCTAAATAAAAATTTGTACTCACGACAGCGTAAACAAGCAGTTATAATAGAGTTTTATGCCTACTTATATAAGTTTTCACCGTTATTTATATGGGCGTGTGTGTATTCATTTTTACAATTTATTATAA